ATAACAATTTAAAAATAATTAATTTAAAGTAAATATCTATTTATTAACAATATCTATAATAATAGTAACTATTAATTATAATCACTAATTATATATTTATTAAATTACTGTAATAATCAATAATTATTAAGTCCGGGTTAAGATAATATAGATAACAATATTATAATCGGTAGTGGCAGTAATTAAATTACTATCATTTGGCGAAAGAGGAGACCACCCCTTTCGCATTAAGATTTCTCAAAAAATTGTTGTCATGGATTGTTTGTTCAATTTCTATATATTTTCATGTTATATTTTGTTACAACATTTTCCAATCATTTAAATCAACCATAACACTCAATACTTTGTAGAGCAATATAGTGAATTGCAAATCTAGTAAACCTTGATTGTGTTGACTCTCTTTCTTTTATAAACTTCCTCATCATATTGATAACTATAGCATGATTATGGATAAAGGTTTTAATTTTCTTTCATTTTTTAATAATCTTAGACACCTTAGATAATTTTAAAATATCCCCTAACATTAAATCAACATAGTGTATTATAACAATTAAAATATCCTTTAACATTAAATAAATATAGTATGTTGCAAGAGTTGAAAAATTCTGTAAGCACTTCCATTATTAGTTATAATTTGAATATCATTTTGAGGATTAATTTCTTTAACCACTTTATTCATCAATGTATACAAATTTTGTGTATTATGACACTTTTGTAATGCATCAAATTCACTATTTCAAATATCAAACTATCATAATTCATATGCATAAAAATTAATTAGAGATTTAGAATTGTAAAATAAAAAATGACAAAAGACTTATAAATGCTAAATCATAAATCTAAAAAATAATTAAAAAAATACTTTAAATTTATAAAATATCATGTTGACATTTATATTGTAAATCCAAGTATCCATTAAGTTTACATGAATCACATCCAAATTCAATTATTAAATAAACTATTTATTTCCATGTATTATTAAATAATTTTCAAGTTTTATTAGGAAATCAACTTTTTGTTTTTTTAAACATTTTTTAAGTGTTCTCTAATTCAGTTAAACAATTATTTGATTAAACAATTTTGTAACATTTTTAATTTAGTTATTTAAGAATTATTTAATCAAACATTTTTTCTATAATTTTTAAGAATTATTTATTCTTATTCAAATAATTATTTTATATTTTTTGTTCCAAAATATTACAACAAAAAAATATGTAACAAAAAATCAATAACTCTATGGATATGATAGATCCTTCATAACAAATTAAATATCTATGCATGGTGAGATTACAACAAAAAATTAGATAAAATAAATATTTTTAATTTTACAAATAGATTTACAAAAAAATAAAAAAAAAAGTTGGAATATGGTAGGTCATCCATAGATCTACAACATAGTAAATCTTTATGTTTGATCACACAAAAAAATGAAAAATATAATTTTTACTCTAAAAATTACAAAAAATTAAAAAGTTAAATATTTTATAAGAAATTTCAGTAGATTAATGGATATGGTAGATCATACATAGATTTACAACATAGTTTTCTTCATGAGTATATACCAAAAATATAACATTTTCTTTTTTTGTTATATATATATATATATATATATATATATTGGGTCTAGTGCCACTTTGGTCGTCGAACTTTAAAACGCAACAACTTAGTACCCAAATTTTCAAAATGTGAGAATTCCGTCCCTACCGTTAACCAACTGCCAAATGGCATGTGAAAAGATACAAATGTCCTTCGGGTATTATCTAATTTTCTTTATTAACCATCCAAGTGCCCTTTTCTTCCTCAAGAAGATGAAATAGAGATTATAAGTTTTTGGTACACTTTTTGCAAGGGAATGGTAATGATCCAGCTCCTACAAAAACCAAACGACTCCCCTCAAATCCCAAGCTAATGAATGTGGCAAGTGTTGAAACCTCGATGGGTTTGGGTTTTTCACCGTTGCTTTGGTTCAATCTTAATTCTTGAAGAAGAAGATGATGAGCAACGTTTTGGAGGATAATTTTGACATTTTAAAAAATTTTAAATTGCACATAGCATCATGTGATACGGATAACTAACAACTGGTTAGCGATAAGAGTTGGGTGGACACGTTTTGAAAGTTTGGGTACTGAATTGTCACATTTTAAAGTTCATGGACCAAAGTGGCACTAGGCCCAAAGTACATGGTACTAATCGATAATTTTCCCTTAAAAAATTACATAGATTTACTTATAGCACCAAGATGTGTGGAATTTTCAAGACAAGAAGAGTAGATCAGCATAAAAAAAGAATACACAATATTACAATATATTATCAAATAAAGTGGAAAAAACATATCTATTTTTGCCCCTTTTGATGCAAATTGAAAAAACTTTAAAGATCTTAATTTGTTATGGTTGTTTTTGGGATTTGTTTGGTAGATTTTGTGATCTAGGTATGTAAAACATTGTTTTGATTAGTTTAGGGGAAAAAGAAGGCTTTTGGAGTAGGTTTAGAAGCCTTTTTTCTTGAGCATTTTTTTATTTGCTTTCGTGTATAGGAAAGTTATCGCATATCACTTGATACACTACCGTATCGGCCAATATGTGGACAAAATGGGTTGATACTTATTGATACATCCCTAATACATATATGATACGGGGTGAACAGGATGAAAAGATACAATACTAATGATTTGGTACCATTTCCCGTGTCAACGCCTCAAAGAAGTGATACATATTAGCTGATATAGGCCGATATGTTGAAAAATTTTGAATATTGGCAAGGTGATACATTGCCACATAGACAATTTAGCTTCCTTGAACAAAGCAGGGAGTGTAGTTATTGCATTTACAATGTGAATATATTATAAAAGTCAAACAAAAACCAAATTTATGTAAATTTTTGAGATGTATATGCCTTAAGGTGCTTTGATAATTTTGCCATTAGAACCCTTTTTTTGGTCATGACTAAAAGAAAAAAATGGTTCAGCCTCCAAATCGATTTTTAAAACAAGGGTCTTTGTTGCAAATTTACTTTAATGTTAAAAAAAAATTAGTAAAATTATTTATCTTTCTGTATGTTTGAATTTGGATAATTTTGTGTTTAATATATTTTTGATGAAAATTTCATAAATAAATTCTACATGAATCTTAGAGATGGAAACTTGACCTGTCCGCATGGGGCTTCACCCTGCCTTGCCCAAACTGGGGCAAGACTTTTGACCATTGATCGGGGTTTGGGGGAGGTTTTGGAGAAACTCAAAACTCTAGGAATCAGGAACATGGTAGGAATGATCTTTGTCCATCCTGCCTCGGACCCACCCTGATTATATTATATTATACCACATAATACAATATAGTTTTAGGTATGTTTAAAAAAAATAAAAAAGATTAACTTACAATTATACAAATGAAATGATTGGAGCAGACTGGGATTTAGACTTCTATCCTAATGGGATTTGAGGCATTTGTGCTCGGGGTTGGGGAAGGAGCATGGAATACTAGGGATGCAAATAGATCGGATCAGATCGGATCCTGATCTAAAGATCCAATTGAATTTCACAAATATCGATTCAAATTCAAATGAAATTAGGGTGTTGGATATCCAAATATGATCCATTCTGATTTAATTTTATAAAAAATTATAAATTATTAAAAAGAAAAAAATAAATAATATAAAAAATTTATAAAAATATAATATAAATAAATAATATATATATAAATCCAAAATAAGAATATACGAATCTGACAAAATAGAATCGGAATTCCGATTTGATCTGAAAATCCGAAATAGGGATATCCGAATATGGCAAATTAGGATCGAAATTCGGATCAAATAATCGAATCCATTTGTACCCGAAGAAAATACCTCTCCTCGTTACAATTAGACCTGTTCATGGGCCAGGTGGCCCGATGGGCCGGCCCGGCCCCCGGACGGGCTTGAACATGTTTATAGGCCCGCGGGCTTAAACTCGGGCCAAAAAGCCCGGCCCGCAATAAATTTGAGCCGGGCTCGGGTTTTGTCAAAATAGCCCGGCCCGACCCGACCTAAAATTAGACTTAAAAAGGGTTATGTGATTAATGTCCATTTGAATAAATTTTTTGATTTAAGAATGTAAAACTGTGTTTTAAAATGTAAAAGAAAGGGAAAGAAACCATCTTGTAGGCCCATTGTTCATTTAAATAGGAAAAAGAAAACCATATGAATTTTTAATTCTAATTTGAATAGGAAAAATTGTAATTTTTTATTAGGTCGGGCTTCGAGCTATTTATTAGGGCCGGGCTCGGGCTCGGGCTCGGGCTTGGGCCTAGTGTATTTCCATTAATGATGAATAAAAATCCGGCCCGAACCGAACCCATGAACAAGTCTAGTTACAATACCTCATTGAAATCCTATTCGTGGTGAGAGAGGAATCGCCGGAAATGAGTCCGGATATCCGGCCAACAAATTACTTTTCAACACCTACCAAACACCATGGGACCCGCCATGCAGATGTTCGGTGTCAGATCATGTTAGTTTTATAACTTAGCTCTGTTTGGAAAAAATATAAATATAAATTTATAGAATGTAAAATTTTATATTTTGTATATATATATATACTGTATATATTTATTTTTATATTCCTTATAGAAAAAGTGCAAATACAAATATTATAAATACATACAAATTTATATTTGTACTCTTCCAAAGTGAGCCTTAATAATATGTTGGCATGTTGGCAGGTCCAACTCGCCAGAATTTGTATAATCGGTCATCACCATAGAGATTCTTTCATTCTCTTCGGGGCAATCACATCATACAAACTTCTCATCATCCAACGAAAAGATAAAGATTCAACGGTTCTGATCTCAGTAGGACCCATTAAGAATTTATGATGATGATTTATTTACTCTTACCAACACAACTATATAGATCCAGTGGTTCTAAGCTTTGCGGGTCCCATAGAGATGGTGTTCGTAAACTAAAATCAAATCCTAAATTGGCAGTGAAAACAACTTCCCCAAATTAGCCTCGAAGGCTCAAACGTATACTCTCTCTCTCTCTCTCTCTCTCTCTCTCTCTCTCTCTCCGTCTCCTACTCTGTTTCTAAATCCTAACTCCACCTCCTCACCTCTATACAGTGGTGACCTTGTTGGAGCAGAAGTTCTCCGCTGAGCGGCTTCTAACGAGAGTAGGAGAAGCCCTTCACTATATATTCTTCTTCTTCTTCTCCTCTGTTTCTTATATTTCATGTCTCCTATCGACTTCCCGCTCTCTTCTCCTCTCATCGGAGTTTGGTTACAATCTCTACTCTGCAATTCCTATCCAAGACGGCTTGTTTTCCTTTTTGATCGGAAAAAGCACAGGTTCGGTTCGAGGGTTTTGTTTACGCTTCTTATCTTCTCCCGAAAAGATGAGTGATTCTAAGGTATTTTTTTCTTTCTATGTATTGTTTTTTTTTGTTTCTTCGTTTAAGGGTTTATCATTAAACGTATTCTATTTATGGAATTTGATTGAATTAAACAGAATATAGTTATTATTATTTTCTTTCGTTGATTTTGGATTTCTCGATGGGTCCCATACCTTTTGATGAATGGTTTTTCTCTGACCGGAGGTTCGAATGATCAATTTTTGCTTTTTAGGACTTTGGTTGAAAAAAGGACGAAGATTATATTCCTCCCCTTTTGTCAATGCCTGATTGAACTTCTTCAGATTACCTCTCCCCACGAAGAAAAAATAAATAACTAAATTCGTTTTTCTGGTCGTGCTGCAATTTGTAGATGTAAACCTGAGACATATGAAATGGATATAACAAGGCTGTAAGAATAATTCTGATTATTAGGGAATCTGGGACTAAATTGACTTATTTATCTGTTTCCTCCGGTCATTGGTAGACAAGCAAAGTGAGTTCCATGATTGAGTGTGGTTTTGGTTTGGTATATTCTGCAAGCATGCTAGAATTGGTGAATCGATTTTTTCACTGAAAGCATCAAATTTCTGATGCCTTCCCTTTTCCCCCATGTAAGTGGTTTATTAGAAGGAATTTTATCTTTCGGACCTGACACCTTTGTCCCCCATTTTTGGTTGAAAGAAAATGGACAATCACTATATTGTTGTAGATGCTAGCTCCTAAATGTTAAGGTTGTATTTGGGACCTTTTTTCTATGACTTATATGATGCACATGTAGAAGGTTGGTACGAACTTTTAATTCTGAAATTTTGAAGGTGATACTGGAAGGGATAAGGTACCACTTACACATTTACAATTTGCAGATGATACAATTCTGTTTTGTGAAGGAGGGGATATCAATTGGATTAAAACTTTGAAACTCTCTATGTAGCTTTTTGAACAGATGTCAAATCTGAGGGTGAACTTTGAAAAAAATTGTATAGTTGGAGTCAATATGGGGGAAAGGGGGATTGGGGAGTATGCAGATATGTTGGGTTGTGTAGTGTCTAACTGGCCTTTAACCTACTTGGGCTTACCTTTGGGGGATAATCCTTAGAGAGATGATTTCTGGGCCCCTATAGTGGAGAGATTTGAAAAGAGACTTGCCATCTGGAAAAGAAATTATTTGTCTCTTGGAGGGAGAATCACATTAATTAGGTCTACATTGGCTAACCTTCTTGTATATTTTTTGTTAGTTTTTAGGATACCGGTGAAGGTGGCTAATAGGTTGGAAAAGCTAATAAGGGATTTTCTATGGGAGCCGGGGGAGGAGAAGAGTACCCTAGGGTCAAGTGGGAGGTAGTCTATAGAGGTAAAATGGAGGGTTGGGTATTGGTAATATTAGGATTAGGAATCTTGCATTATTATGGAAATGGTTGTGGAGATTCTCATTGGAGATAGAAAGATTGTGGGTTAAGGTGGTGGGAAGTATACATGGACTAGCAAACAATGGATGGGACTCAGGAATTCTAGCACGGGCTACAAGAGCTTTTCCTTGGAGAGCTATTCAAGCCATCTTGCCTTTATTTTCTCCATGGATCAGGTATGACTTGCATTCTGGTAACCTTATCAAATTCTGGGAACATGTTTGGGTTGGGGATTCCCCTTTGAAAGATCAATTTCTAGTCCTTTTTGCTATGTCTTCCCTTAAGAATGAACCAATTTCATCATTTCTTGTTCCTTTCAATTCACCTTCTGGGGTTGGTTGGAATTTAAGTTTGAGAAGAGGTGTTAGGGACACAGAGTTTGCCAGTACTATAGCCTTACTATCTCTTCTTGAAGGGGTATTCTTTGAGCCATCTAAAGCAGATAACAAAATTTGGACACTAACTCCCTCGGGTTCATACACTTGTGCTTCTTTTTCAAAGCACTGTTACCCTCTCATCCGGTTGGTTCTTCTTTTCCTGTTAAAGAAGTGTGATGTCAACCTATACCTCCTAAGGTTGGGAGGCTTTCCTGGGAAGAGTTAATACAAGGGATCTACTCCAAAGGAAAAGACCCAACAACTGCTTGTCTCCTCAATGGTGTGTTCTCTGTAAGTCCGATGTTGAGTCTGGATATCATTTACTAACATCTTGTCAGTTTGTTAAAGCTATTTGGGTATGGTTTACTTATCTGTTTGGATGTAGGTGGACTCCCCCTTTGAATGTTCCAAGCTTGTTTTCCTYCATGCCTAATTGGYCAACTAAAAGGGCTAAAATCATGTGGAGGTGTGGTAGAGCTGCAGTCTGTTGGACAGTGTGGGAGGAGAGGAACTCAAGGATCTTCTCAAATAAAGAGAGAAGCGCGGAAGAAGTCATGGAGATCATCCATATTAGGATGGTACAATGGTTGAGAACATTGGAGCTGTTCAAAGTACTGTTAAGGAATTGGAAGGAGATTGCAGATTCAAGTTTATGTAGGAAGATATTAAAAGTTTGCTGGACTCCTCCACCCCTTGGGTTCACCAAACTGAACTTTGATGGCAGCAGTATAGGGAACCCAGGGCCTTCCGGAATTGGGGGTGTGATAAGGGATGAAACAGGGAACTTTTTAGCCATGTACTCTGGGCCGATTGGGGTGGGTGACTCCTTGAGGGCTGAGATTTTAGCAGCTATTGAAGGGATTCAAAGGGTCAGGGTAATGAATATCAAAAAGGTGGTTATAGAAGGTGATTCTGAAGTGGTGGTGAAATGGCTAAAAGAGGACAGTGTTATGATGTGGAAATACAGCAATGAAAGAGGAAGTATAAGTGGTTAACCAAGGACGTGGAAATTCAATGTACATGGATAAAGAGAAGTGCAAATGCATTGACTGATGGTCTAGCTAGGCAAGGGGTAAATAGAGATACATTTTTCTGGGCTGTTTTGTAATCACTGCATGGTCAAAAAGTCACTTGGGTAGCTGGAGTTAAGACTTTTTAGCTCCATCCCTTTATAAACCTGATTTTTTATCATTAATAAAATTTCATTGTTACTGATCAAAAAAAAAAAAAGGTGATACTGGTGAAGATGTGGAAGATTTCTATCTATAGAATAAGTAAATGCATCCGTAACTAAAGGCGACTCTATGAACGTAATATGATCTAGGGAATAACTAACTCTTTGGAGTACATGGTAGAACCTTTCTTAGTTGGATAAAGCATCTTATAGTTCCTTATTCTTACTGTTAACTTTAGTCACATATATCTAGTACATAGGAAACCTACAAGTGACACATGTGAGGATAATCAAGCCCATGTAATTTGTTCTAGAGTTTTAACCCACATTGTGAATGTGCTGTAACATTTTCATAGAGGAACCTCAGTAGGAGATTTCTATTTAGTATGAGCCACGAGTTTGAAATTATTAATTGCATAGTGGGTGCAAGCATGTAAATATTGGTGTTTGAATCATGAGTTTGAATGTAGGTTCTTACCAAGAATGTGGGAATTGAAGAAGCATTACTATCAAATGAGATGGCGATATGAAAAGCATCCAATTTGATTCCTACATTCTAGGTCTTTCTTGTCAAGTAGTTACTTTATGTCTTAGTTGTATGTAGCTGGATGTTGTGTGGGAATGGATCTGGTTATGTCTGGCATTGTGGATAATGCCAGTTCTTAAATGTGGAAGCAAGAGGTGCCTAATATGTTGTGTCTAGGAAGAATGGAATATTAGAAAAACATTATAATTTTATATGTAATAAAAATCCTAGAATAAATTAGAGAGCATGTATACAAGAAGGAGAAAATACAAAAATAGCTTAACTGCATACCACCCTCTACACAAAAATGACATTCTACCTAAAAGCAAATTCCTTTCTATCGTAATGGCATGTAGTTGGGAGAATGGTCTTCCTTTCCTTCAAAACTTTAGGGTTCCTTTCTAGATACTTCAACAAATAGCTGAAGGGATCATACCCCAAAGTATGTCTCCTTTTGAAAACAGGATGATATTACTTTTTTAATAGGGTCAGTCCCATGAACTGTTTAAATATAAATGAGAAGAATTTCTAAATTGCAGAGGTAAGGGAGCATCTTGAAATAGGTAGTCATTAGTCAATGGATTCTTCCTTCTCTTTACACATACTGCATTGATTAGGGATATTAGAAAACGTATTTGCACCTAATAATTTATGTCGTGCTTACAGAAATACTTTTGAAGCATTGGTACACAATAACACTAAAGACTTCAAAAATTGAAAAATACAACAAAAGACTTAAAGATGTGCCTGCATTTAATAGTTGTACTGATTTACCTGAGGTTGTTAATTCTATTATCTATGTATATATATAATTTTTTTTAGAAGGTTTCCTTATAGACAGACAAATTAGTCAAGGCCTGTTAACGCCTTGTGGTTGGTTGGTTTCATTTGCATATTTGTAGACTACATTCTGGTTAGTGTTTGATTTTGTCATGTGTTATTTATCACTGACATTTGGAAAATAATATTCTATTGGTATGATGTCATCATGTGGAATTTTGATATTGTTTTATGTAATTTCACTTACGATCGAAACCGACATTTGTATTGTGTACATGTTTTTATTGGTTTCCTGTTGCTGAAGCAGGTATTTATATTTGGGTCATTTACCGAAGATGAGGTCAGGTCATTCCAGAGGCAAGCATCAGAGAACACTGTACAACCTTTGGGGAAGAAAGACCTCCGTTTTGGTTCTTTGGATTTTGAGACTGTAAGATCCTTGGGTGGTTTGAAATGTGAACCTGTGCAAGCTGATTCTTTGAAAGGGTCTAAAGATTTCCAGCTACCAAATATGGTAGTGAAGGACAATGCAATCAAGACTGTTAATGCAGCAACCAATAAATTGCAAAGAGTGTCAGGAAGTATGAAAGAGAATGGAAGTATCCAGAATTCATCCAATTTTTCTCCATATTGTAATGGCGTAAAAGAACATGAAGGAGGTTGTCTAGATTTTCCTTCATTATATATCTCTCTGGATGCTGGTCCTCCAAAGCAGCTAACAAGCCCAGTGGACAGAAATTTTCTCATCACATCTCACTCTATTCCAGATGAAGTACTTGTCAATTCATCAACACTTGTGGCTTCTAATGATGATATTCAGAAGGCAGTGAATCAGTCAAGTACATTTGTTAAAGATTTACTGCCACGAGGCTTAATCAACTCGGGGAATTTATGCTTTCTCAATGCAACACTGCAGGCTTTACTGTCCTGTTCTCCTTTTGTTCAGCTTTTGCAGGAACTAAGAACTCGAGATATTCCCAAGGTTTTGATCTTTTGGTGCAACTATACTTTCTATCTTTTATTAGTATGCACTTGAGGGTCCTGTAGCTTATAAAATAGAATATAAAATCATTTAGGAGATGTTCTCCAACATAAATGTTTTTATTCTTGTTTCTAGAAATGCCCACATCAACGAAAAACATGTTGTTCAAAGTGTATTCTCTCAAAGCAAAGTGAGAATATTATCAGTTTGATTCAGAAAAACAGCCATGTTTCTAAACCCAACAAAAAAGATGCTTTCAAAAATAAAAACATGTTTTCACTTCCATAAGGGTGGGCAGTGTAAATTGCTTAGGCCAACTAAGTTGTGCCCCTACTGAATATTATATGCCTTATGCAACATAATATCAAGTCAGCAGAGGAGATCGTGTTTCTGAAACCAGAAATTCAAAAATGCGTTTATGCCTTTGGAGAAAAAGGACATTAAACAGCCATGAATGTCTTTTATGTATTTTGTTTTATGAAAATAATGTTTTTTCAAACCATTTATAGGGCCTAGTTTTCTTGGAATCACCCCCTTTTCCCCCAGGAAAAAAAGGCAATTCACACTGGAGAACAACCCTTAACATTTATGTTACCTGGTTCTCATTATGAATTTTGATTTCTTTTCAGACTGGATACCCAACATTATGTGCATTTGTTGAGTTCATCTCTGATTTTGATATGCCCACTGGTTCAACTTTGAAGAAGAAGGAAATGTCAGTTGTTGAGACTGGATTACCTTTCAGACCTGCCATGTTTGAACCCATTCTTAAAAATTTTACTCCAGATGTTCCAAATAGTATATCAGGCAGGCATAGGTTGGTGCTTATTTTGCATATTRTTTATTTTTTTATTAATCACTATTCAATAATTTTTATTTTTCAGTTAGGTTATTTGTTTTCCTGATAGATCCTAATTACTAAGGTGCTTCTCCATTCCTTCCAGACAAGAAGATGCTCAGGAATTTCTGAGTTTCATAATGGATCAGATGCATGATGAATTATTGAAGCTTGAAGATCAATTTTCAAGCTCAACTACGGCTAAAGCATCACTGGTGTCAAATGTAGAAGAGGATGGTTGGGAGACTGTTGGGCCAAAGAACAGATCTTCTGTGACAAGAACACAGAGTTTCATTCCATCAGAATTAAGTGCAATTTTTGGAGGACAGTTGAGAAGTGTTGTTAAGGCAAGAGGTGGGTCATCTTTGCAATTTATATTTACCTATTGATCATCTACTAGCTTAGGTCAATTAACTTAGTAAAGTAAAATAAGTAAATAAATACAAGAATAAGAAAATTAACGTTTGCTTGTCCAATTACGAATCTGGTACATTTTTGGTTGCAATGTAGGTAACAAGGCCTCTGCTACAGTTCAGCCATTTCTATTGCTACACCTTGATATTTTTCCAGAAGCTGTTTGTTCCATTGAAGATGCACTTCGTCAATTTTCTGCCCCAGAAACACTTGAGGGGTATCGAACATCAGTGTCAGGAAAGGTACCTCCCACTGTCATTATCTTTGCCTTTTTCTTTTTCTTTTTCTTTATTTTCCAAAATTAGTTGTTAGTACCTTAATGTTTGTTTTAAGCTCAAACTTTCAAGTTATCACACTGATAATATATGCTAAAAGCCTAAAACTGGAGACAAATGCTGGAAGATTATTGTTAGCAATTCATATTTTAGAACATTCCACCATATAAGCTTTCATAACTCGGGACTCCTCCAAATGTTAAAACTGATGAATGGAAACGGTCCTTAGCTTGTTCAAAATATATGTGAGTTTGTATTACAAGTGTGATAGCTCACTGTACAAAAAGCTTCTGTACATATGAACACCATTAAGAACCCCCAAAAAAGACAACATTCAAAAAAGAAGAGAGGCTATCATCCTTGAAGTGCGAATTGACACTCAACCAGGCTATTAAACTGCCAAAAATCTGATTTATCAGCTCCTCTTCTCACATTTCTTTTTGGTCAAAGACCATCCTTTTCCTTTCACCCCAAACAGCCCAGATTATAGCCAGAGGAATAGCTGCCCATAGAATTTGTCCCTTTTTGGTCATACCTCCTATTATCCAGCTTTCAAAATGGACCCAAACTGAAGCAGGAATACAAAATTGGAGGTCTATTGGCTTTGAGGAAATGCGACCAGACTTTAGCAGAGAACTTGCAGTGGATGAAATGATGGTTAGAGTCGTTAGATGATGTCTCTGATTCTTGGTTACATAGCACACATCTGATGTCAGGCAACATCATTCCTTTTCTAATCAACAATCCCTTGGTGAGGCATTTCTCTTCTACGCTCTTCTACAGCCAACCATGAGAACTTGATTTTCAAAGGTTAATCCCTCCTCAGATTGCTTTTTACTAAGAAAAGAATTAGGAAAATCTGATCTCAGCTCATTAGAAAAAGATTTGACTGAGAAAGAAGCTTTTTGCACAGTGGGTCGTGAATTGCTGTACTGGTAATCTTTATGTACAGTGATCTCTTACTCTGTACAGAAGCTTTACTCTGTAATCTTTCTCTTTACACTGGTAATCACTCTGTACAGAAGCTTTGCTCTGTACCTGGCAGGATTTCCTACAGAAAAGCTATCAGTGCTTCATTTTTATCACTGTTATGATCTTTGTTCTTTATTGTAAGTTTGAAGATAATTGCAACAATTCTGCCAAGACATGGTTGTAATTGTCAATGCATTGCCAGGCAATAAGGTGTTTTTTACGGTAGATTTGTGCCTTGCTTGGTGTATCGTTTTTTAAATGGTTCTTGTTCATTACAACTTTTTTTTTTTTTTTTTTTTGTATTTGTTGTATCGTTTTTTTTGATAAGTTGTATTTGTTGTATTGTTAATCAATAGATAGTCCAGCTTATCCCATTCCATCTCTTTCTTATGTGAACATGGTATCGGAATTTGAAGTTTAGAATCTGGATCCTTTCTTATCACTCTACTCAAAATGATTGCATCAAGGCATATAATTTAGTTGTATTAACAATATTTAGAAATGGAATTGTTCAGGCTGGGGTGGTCAGTGCTAGCAAGTCTGTAAAGATACAGACACTTTCAAAGATTATGATATTGCACTTGATGCGATTCAGCTATGGAAGCCAAGGAAGCATGAAACTGCATAAGCCTGTGCACTTCCCCCTTGAACTGGTTCTGGGTCGTGAATTGCTTGTTTCTCCATCTGCTGAGGTATGCTGCTGTTCTTTCCTTGATCTCACTTGCTTTTTAGTTTTATAAAATCTATTTAACCAGTGATCACATTTTAGATTGGCAAGGCTCCAGGTTCAAGCCATAATTGTCCAACATTCTTGAAAGTCCTTAAAGTTAGGTCCTTTTTGTCCTATTAAACCAAGATATAGCCAATGTTGATTTACATGTGGAAATAACAATCAATCCATTGCCATCTCACCCAACCGATTGGTTGTAATGTTCAGGACTTTACCTAATAAAAAACGTAGCCCCAAGTTTCAAAGTATTTATACTCTCTATGTGCATCCGTATTTTATTTTGAGTGAAACTCACTTTTTTCTTTTGGTTATTTGACAAGAGGCCTCTCATGTCACTGATCACAACTTCAAATAATTGAAATCATGTAATTATGCTTATATAGGGTATTGGTCACCCTGAAAACCAACAAGTATCAGTCAATAAACACCAAGATGTTTCGATATTTTGAACCTTGGATAGCCCCACCAAATTTTTATGCCAGTTTTGAGCAACTCTGGAAAGTTCAAAAAGATTTTCCTTAGCTCTGGTATCTCATGGTTTCTTTCTACAGGGCCGGAGATATGAGCTTGTTGCAACAATCACTCACCATGGGAGGGAGCCTTCAAGGGGGCACTATACTGCTGATGTCCGCTACTCCAATGGTCAGTGGCTGAGATATGACGATGCATCTGTCACTGCTGTAGGCGTTAACAAGGTTTTGCATGACCAGGCTTATGTTCTCTTCTACAAACAAGTTTAGAGGTATCCATAATTCATGTAGGAGGATTGTCCTAGGCCCAACCTTGTAAAAAAGTAAAACTCAGTTCTGTTCAAGAATTTGTTAGCTAGTATGGGCAGTGGGCTATCTGCCATTGTACACTGTAACCCTTGTTATCAAAGACCAGAAACTGTCTTGCTGGCTCCTATTTGTGGTTTTGGTTGTATACTGAGTGAGTGTAACAGTCCTAACAGCTTGTCATTAATTATATGGAATTATTTTAATGGTTTTTATGAACTATTTTAAATTTTCTATACTCTCTTGAAGAATGTAAAAAATCGTTTTCTTTTCATTGTCATTAAATCATGCTATTACTTGCTAAATCCAATCTTCTAACTTGGTGGAGTTTCCAAAAATTATATTTATCCAGGAATTTTTAGGTAAATCAAACTATGTAGTAAGAGTTGGATTGTGGTATAAAATTGTAATTTGGATTTGCTGACTATTTGAATTCATATTTCATAATCCTGTGTCTGTGAGGGGTTGTCACTTATCAGACTGAAGGTTGTTTTGAGGCTTGAATTACTTAAGTACCTCACATCAACATTGAGAACCCAGATTTCCTACTTTTTCTCTACCCGCACCCTACCCACAGTACACTGCAGTGGTACATCTCACAATATAAGATGGTGATGTGTTGCTGCAATTCAAGGAGCAAGGATTAGCTGAATGCTATGACTGTTCAGCGGGCTGTTGAACCAATGATAAAGTTGCACGGCAGTAATAAGATACATGGGACCTGCACCTTTTATAGTGGGGYCTATGACTTTATTACAGACGTGTTTCAAGGGTAAAGGGAAGTTGGTTGTTTTCTCATTAGGTTGTAATGAATCAGAAAATTTCTAAGTCAAGGTGATAAAAAAGAAACATTTAAATAATAATGAAATAATTGGTTCTTGAATAACCTTGAAAACGATCTATAAAAGAGTAAGATGGGCATTAGGTGATGGGGAAACAATTACTATTATTTGAAATTATAATTTTGAGTCTTGTTCTAGAATGATTACTAGGGTTATGTTTGGATAAGTTTCACAATTTGTACTTTCAAAGCTCAACTCCAGAAGTATAATATTTTTGAAATTAAAATTGTACTTTGAAAGCACAATTTTAAGCTTTGTGCGTGGGGCTTAAAAGTGTGTTGGCCTCATATTATAATATTTTTGCTCAATTTTATTTTTGCACCTCAAAGCTTAAAAAGCAAAAGCAAAAGCTTATCCCAATAGTTGGATCTAATGGCAATTCCAATCCGTTTATGTACCAAACATGACCTTTAATCATCATCATCATCATCGATACGTAACATATGTAACAAACATCAATTGCATATGTTTTTGCTGCTAGCTCTATAACCCAACCCAATTCACCAAAGTATGTATCATTTAATCCTTGACCATAATCATAATCGTGAAGAGATTATTGATTAATTAAGCTCTCCAAAATTCATATTTAAAATCTTATTCACCATTAATTAAAGGGTAAAATACAAAAATTTTCCCTGAAGTTTCTGTCAATCATAAAAATCTCCCTTATAGTTTCATTTTAATAAATACCTCCCCTAAACTTTTGAGAAACTCAACAAAAACCTCTCTTTCGTTACTGTTCTAGATTGGAAACGTTAGATTGATTCATCAATTTTTTTTTTCAAATATCCATTCTACCCTTTTATAAATTATTTTACATACAAAATTACTGAAATAATTCCATTTTAACTTGACAAAAAAAACATATTTCGGTAATTTTGTATGTAAAATTACTGAAGTGATCGTTAAAAGAGGTTTTTTGTTGAGTTAAAATGGGGTGATTTCAATAATTTTGTATATAAAATAATTTATAAAAGGGTAGAATGGATATTTGAAAAAAACTGTTGCATCAATCTAACGTTTTTCATCTGGAACAGTGACGAAAGGGAGGTTTTTATTAAATTTCTCAAAAGTTTAGGGTAGGTATTTGTTAAAATGAAACTATAGGAAAGGTTTTTATGGTTGTCAGAAACTTCATGAGAGGTTTCTGCATTTTACCCTTAATTAAATAACACCTTTATGATTCCAATGATTGATAAGATGCATTTTCCCATATTATATCTTTTCCATATCATAATCCAACCATTAATCCTTAATTAAAACATGAAAATAGAGTACATAAAAACAATGGTCGTTAGACTCATAAAAACAATGGTACACACACATAAGCATACCTAAATCAAACAAACAATACACGTACATATATAAACACACATACATCCAAATAAATATGTACACATACATACATTACATACATAGTTATATACACACACATACATCCAAATAAATACATGACAATATCATGGCAAACCAAACCAGCACTGTCAACCGCATTGAACTAAAAGAGATTGGAGTAGTTGTTTGATCTCATTCTCTTCCCATTTCAATGCTTCCCACCATTCTCTTTTGCCTTTTATCATCCTTAGAGCACCAGTGTCGAAAGAGTTTGCATTTTCCTGATGCTTGGTGCTCCTCCTCAATCTCAGAGGGAGCTTCTACAGATTCTGGCACCCAACAACTGTAATTGTTTCTAACGATGGTGGCTTGGCCAGTGAATCTGGTTTGCAGATCCTAGCTAGCTTTGGCAAGTGTTTAATTTTCAGTACCTTCAACTTCGGCAGCATCACAACAGCAGCAGAATCATCCTTTGTTTCTTTGTCTTCTTTCTTCACTATCTCTTCAAGTTCGATGCAGTTGGCGATATCAACTGTTTCAAGGTTTGGGAGTTGCAGAACACTGCTTCTTCGAAAGACATGCTTCAACCTGGGACAATTTTGAATATTCAGATATTTCAAGCTACTGAAGCTTTCTGGTGGCAATGCTGGTCCCTCCAAAATAGTCCTCAGTTCCAACATAAAAAGCAGCCTTAATATCTTTACGTTTTGCAAAATAGCATCGGCAGCATCATCCAGATTGAGCATTGTCTTCATGGCATTGCATCCATTCAGAATACAGCACTCTAGATGCTTCAGGCCTTCTACCCAACTGAAACTTGACATCGTTTCAGCTGTCTTATGTCCCACCAACTGGAAGAAGGAAGCTTTACCCAGTAAGTCCACGATGCTGTAGGGTATGCTATCTCCTCCTTCAAACATCAAACTCTGCTCTCCTTCAATGCGGGGTACAAGATCAAAATCATCGTTCGGAGTATCAAGTCCCCAGTTGAAAGGTGAGTCTAACGCAGTGACGTACTCAAAATCTGAGGTAGTGACTTCCAGAAAGAATGACTTCAAGCATTGATTCTTCCAAGACAAACTTTCTCTCAGAAATCGCTCGAGAAAATCCACACTCGGGAACAGGAAACCGAGTCTGGTTAGCTTCACCAAACTGGTTGCCTCCCGAGCAAGAGCTTTTGCAACCCCAATCCATTTATTCTGAAACTTGTAGCTCACAAATCCTTTGGCATATATTATCAAGTCTTCCAGTTGAGATAGCTCCGCTAGCATTCCTTCAGGAATCATCTTCTTTTCTTCTTCATCATCATCATCTTCTTCTTCTTCATCATCATCATCTTCATCTTCTTTTCTTCTACCTGCTCTGAATATCACCCACAAACTCCTGAGATGAGTTAGTTTTCCAACCTCAGCAGGCAAGTGCTCGACATAAGGCCCAACATGAAGCACCTCAAGGCTGGTGAGAGCTTCTACTTGCGATGGTAGAGTTGTCAAATACGTGCATTCCCACAGAAACAGCCCACGAAGGCCTATGAGCTTCGAAACAGATGGTGGTAACTTCCTAATATTAGTCCTTGATAAATCCAGAACTCCAAGCCCCTGCATATGCTCAAAAAATGACATCGGAATAACCTTTAAATGTCCAAATCTCTGCAGCAATAATGTTGACAGTGAGGAGGAGCATTTCGGTCTGTCAGGAAGACTGGAGATTTGATTATCCATGAGAGAAATCTTGTTGGCCGGTCTCCATTCCACTTCATCTGGAAATTCATTCAGTCCAGCATTTGCCCTCACTAAGAAGTTACAGCGAGAGGGTGCTAGTGATGGTAGTGATGTGATATATAATGCAAGGTCTCTAATGGTATCGTGCATTTTCACTCTGAATGATCGATACCCACATTCAATCTTTTCTAGTAAACATGCATCTGTAAGTTGATTCACAAAAGTAATACCTTTCTGGCGTGCATTGCCCCAGCTACCATTTGCAATGAACCCCTCTGCCCACCAGTGATCTATCAGCTCATCTACATCAATCGCATAGTCTTCTGGGTACAACGCAGCATACAAGAAGCACTTCTTCAGATTGTCATTCTCTAATCGATCATAACCAAACTTCAATATCGCCAACACTTCGTCTTCCTTCTGAGCAGTAGTCTTTGATTTCAAGTCCCGGAGAGCATGTCTCCAGCGGCGGACATCATGCTTGTTTCTTAAGGACCTTCCAATAACCTTAACAGCAAGCGGCAAACCTCTGCACTTCTTAGCTACCCGCGTAGCTATTGGTTCAATCGTAGGAGAACCCACGACCCTTTCACCAACAATTTCAGAAAACAGCTTCCATGCCTGTTCTTTGGATAAGACTTCCAGTTTGATCTCCTTATCCGTATGCATTTGCCTACACACATCCAATGATGCAGATGTTAATATAATCTTACACTTGTTTTCATCGCTTGGCCTTGGGACTCCTATCTTTTCCAACTCTATGGCTTCCCTCACATCTTCTAAAATAAGCAAGTACTTCTTTGTTGCCAGATGTTGCAACAATTCTCTGGCTACAGCTTCCTCAGAGTTGCTCTTCAATTCCATTTTCAATTGCTGTGCAATTTTGTTTTGCAGATTCCTCACATTCAAAGTCTTGGAAGCTGTGACCCAAATAACAACTTCAAACATCTGAGTAATTTCTGGTAGGTTCTTCAACTGCTGCATTACAGTGGTCTTCCCAACACCACCCACACCCCACACTCCAATCCTTTGGACATTGGTCAGATCTCTTACACATTCTAATACTCTTTCCACATTGCGACGAATAGGCTCTTTGTAATCATAGTTGGTTGTAGCCGGGATTACCTCAACTGGCTGTGCTTGTGGAGGTTCATCAATGGTTGTAGCAGGGATTGCCTCAACTTCCTCTAGCTGTGGTTTTGGAGGTTCATCAATGGTTGTAGCAGGGACTGCCTCAACTTCCTCTGGCTGTGGTTGTTGAAGCTCATCAACCACAGGACCTCTCTTTATTAGCTCGGAGCCTTCATTGTAGTGCTGAAGAATTTCTTCTTCTAGAGTTACTATGTGTTTGCCAAGGTTCCTACGTGCCAAGATGTGTAGGTAGGGAAGCCTTCCACCAAGTTTGTTTTCTTTCAACCCCTCGTCTATATCCTTCACTTGCCTTTCCAAATCCTCTGCAACCTGGAGCCAATATTCATTCTCTGGAATTGTTGAAACTGTCTCCATTTCAGCCTTGATAGCATGGAGACGTTGTGCTTGTGTCTTGAGATTTTCCAAAATTTTACCAGTTCTGAAATAGTCCATTTCACGCATGAATGAAGCCCATACACTCATCGTTGGATCACATACCAAGCTCCACATTGATGTGAAGGCATCCATAGTGTTTGATTACCTGCCAAAATATATTGATCGTTATTTAATTCTAGTGACAGGAGTAAGGATCTGCTATTGGGACTTTACTAACCGAGGAGAAATCTGTTCTATAAAGTAAAAACTGGACTTAAAACTCTTCTCAAGATCTTGTAAATGACCTTAATTATATGGTCGAATAGAAAAGCGCACAAATACTAACACTGTTTGGTTTGAAGGAAAAAGGAGGGAAACCTTTAACAAACCTTGTATAGGTTTCCCTACCTTTTCCTTCAAACCAAACATAGCCTAAAAGTATACCACGATAGGCATTTTGATCCATTTGATTTGAAGTCAAGCTAAATAAGGGAACTATTGGGATTTTAGTAGAAATTTGATTTCAAGTGTAATCGTATATTGACTGCAACAAACCATGGAAAATGAAGGGTGGTTTTTGATCTGTCGTGTCACTTGATAGGGGAGGTTAGTGATTTTTCAGAAAAGAGAGGAGATGTTTTAGTATATATAAAAAACTCCGGGGGGTTTAAGGATTTTTCCATTTTGTTTTTGGTAAGGAAGAAAGAGAACATGCTTATTGAGGTAAAAGAGATACACTCATATCAGAAGAAACTTCCTAGATGGGCCCCTAAATGGGCCTAAAAACTAAAGAATTCTCAAGTGGTCTAGAATCTTGGATGATAACACAGGGAAAGTGGGCTATAAGAACAACTTTCGATTTTGGGGATGAACTCATTATAATTAGTCTTTTTTTTGAGAAGGATAGAAAAAATAGATTAATGGATTTCTTAGAAGGTTGATAATATGGATTTCCATCACTATGGTTGCATGAATTGTGACAAGGTTTCTATAAAAGATGAAAGGAATAATATATTATAGAAATTAAAGTGATTGTTTATGCTTGCATGTGTGTTTGGATAAAGAGATAGGGAAAATATTTCACAAGTACCAGAAGATAATAATTTGTCTTTTATAAATAGTGAAAGTTCTTTCTTTCTTTTTTTCTTTTTTCTTTTTTTTTTTATAAAAAGAAGTGCATTACTTAAAATTAGGTAAACAATAATTAGGGATGTTTTTTTTTTTCTAAGGTATGTGTTTATGTTTAAGAAGGAAATAAGGAAGATATATATCTTTCCTAATGAATCCTTTAATAAAGGTTGCAGTTATAGCACGTACTATAACTTTTATGAATGTAGTACATTTGGAGTCACCTCTTGGTTAAAGAAAAAGAAAATTTAGAACAAAGAAATGCAGCTTGGCTCAAATTAGTCCACGAATTTCTAATTAAACTTCGGCTTTAAAATGTCCTTGGACCTTACTTTGCTTACACAAGTTAAATTTCCATTATAAAGTTTGATTTAGTAGTTAATTTTAATAACCAGGTTAATGGGTTTTATTTCTAATAATTACAACCCAGGAGCTTCCTAAAAATTTTTGTTCCACTAAATAATCCATTTCATTCAGTAAAGCACAAATTTGATAAAGAGAAGGAAGACCCATAAAACAGTCTAGGACTTCATAACTTGTCTTTGTTCCCATACTTTGAAGAATTGAAACACAAAATAGAATGAATCTCACAATAGTTCTAGGCCTTTAATATATAAAAATTAACTAAACCAAAAATCATCAGCTTATATATCATAGTTATGTGTTGTATGTTATATGTGTGAAGAGTGGAAAGAAGTTGTATACAACCATTAATTAGTAGAATGATAACATCAGCCTGATCTAATTTTTAGGTTATAGATACAAAACTAGTAAATTTTATGGAGAAGTACGGAAAGGCCCATTGTAGAATTCTGATTTTCACTGCAAATCTACTACAATTTGAAAGGTCAATTATCCCTACCCTATGCACCAATGCCCGCCTGTGAGTTGGCATCAATTCCAAGCTGGCATCTACCCCAACCAACTGTACTTTAGGCCTATGAATTCTGACCCTGTGCTGAACCGTCATTCTTCCTAAATTTTATAGAGATTCAAACCCGGAACTTGCAAATTTTAAAGCGATAGATTCAAGCAAGGAAGTCTTCAATGTTAACAAATACCAATTTAGAAATTTTCACCTCTACACTATAGAATACATTTGAACGATTTGACTTTGGACTCCAAACTTATAGTATATATGAACAAGTAATAAATAAGAAATATATGTTGTTCTTTGTAAGATTCATGATTTTTGTTGTTTTAATGTCTAACTATTAATAATTTATCTGACAATGTTTTTAGACTTTTAATATATACTCAGAGTTATCTTAATGGAGTAAGACTATAATTTAATAAATAAAGACTATTTTTAACAAATAAAATTATCTAACATAACATGTTATTTTGTAAGAAATGGTTATCAATAGACCATGTGGTGCAGAATCCTTAATAATCTTTAAACCACTTAATTAGCATGAAGCTAATAAATAAAGTAATGAAATAATTGCATAATTGGTCAATTGGAAACATTACAAGCACTTTTTAATTTGAATTTAAAACATATTAAAAATAATTATAAGTCAGATATGCTGCTATAGTCAAAAGGGGTTACAAAATTCAAAACAAAAACAAAAAGGATACATAATAAATTTAAAAACCTAAATAATTTATGGGCGTATCATCATAATTAAAGAAAGAGGATTATAAATAATGAACTTGAACTAAAAAATTATGATATAAATAAATCATCAGGAGATGGATTACTCACTATGAAAGAATGAGAGTGCAAACGAAGCAACGACAAATTAGTAATATCTCAATACTCTTTCACTTCTTGGTAGTATCTAATGGTTTTGAGTTTATATAGGGTTGATTTTTTCTGTTTCCATTTTGAACTTGGCAAGCAAAGAATCCCTTTTCATTCTTTAATTTGTTAAGTATCAAGGAAAGTATCCCTTTTCATTCTTCAATTTGATTTCTTCTTATGCTTGTTTGTTCTTGTGTTAGATTAATGCCCACTAGCAAAAAATTTTAAATTTTTAAGTTTATATTCTAAAAATAATAAAGTATAAAAGCTAAATTAAATGAAGCATTTCTCTCTTTTTTTTTTCTCTTTATCCTTCACAATTTCATGTTTCCTTACATTACTTTATTCTTCTTAGTCTAATGCATTGCATACTTAAGAATTCACAAATCAATTAATCAAAAACTGTATATTCACATATTTAGTACTAGTTGGGAGGAGCCTTATTAATTTAATTGAACTTATTTATGATATTATATATCATTTTTCCAAATGTAGTCTTAATATGTAACTACACCTAAATACCTTATTAATAATAAGAGAGCTAAGTGAAAATGAGTTTATGCAACTTCACCATATAATATGTCCCACTAGATTTATGGGATGATGAGGAAACTAAGATTGGCACAAACTTTATTGTTTACAGGAAATTTTCCATTCTTATTAATAGGAAAAAGACAAAAATCATTTGTTAAAATAGCCTTTTTTTTTAGTTTTTTTTTGGTACAGAATTCTGTAGCCAATTCTATTAAATAAATTTTCCAAACTTTAAATTTTTTCTCTTGCCTTGTGATCCATATATAATCTTTTTCCTTACACTTTATAGTAATTCCTATTATAAAACTGGAGGTTTTACCATTCACAAAGAGATGGTTTTCCATTTCCATAATCAATATAATAATTCCTATGCTATAATGGTATTCATTTTTGTAAATTCGAATTCAAATCCTATCTGGTCAAGGTGAACTGAATTTGATCCATTCATAATGAATCGAATATGAAATTGGTTTGACTGTTGTATATATATTTACTATGTGCCATATATAGTTTTAAGTCTCGTAAATGTTATTTATAAGTCATTTTATTCATGATATACAAATCAGCAATTCTAGCTAGGTCATATATATATATATATATATATTTTGATTAGTTATAGTTGAAATTTATGAATGTACACAATACGTGAATCAATTTGAGGGATAAGATTTACGGTTTGTTTGGTTTGGAATCGGAATTGAAATCGAAATCTCTGAAATCAGAATCAGAATGGTGCATTCCCATATTCTGTTTGGTTCAGACACAAATGAGAATGTGAATTAAAATCAGAAGAAATGGAATTTTATTCCCAAAGAAGAGGCAGAGAATGGCCATTCTCTCAAATGGGGGAATACCATTCCAGCAGGAATGGGAATGGAATTCCGATTCCACTCAACCAAACAGTTGGAATCGGAATAGCCCATTCCAATTCCGATTCCAGACCCCTATTCCTACAAACCAAACGGGGCTTTAGTTTTCTTGAAATATAAATATTAATAAATCAGACTTGGATCTAGATATATCCAATTTCAATCCGGTCCATTTGCAGTTCTATACTAAGGGAAGTAAAGAATGAAGCCGAATTTGAAAGACAAATTTATTTACTTTCATAGACTTTATTTGTTGGAATGTACTTACCTCTTTAGATTTTAGTGATTTTGAGAGTTATTATTATTATTATTATTATTATTATTATTATTATTATTATTATTATTATTTTTGTTATACTGGTTTGCATAACTTTATAAATCTTCTTTATATTTTGTTTTTAAACTGAATACTTGTCTTTTGAGGTGGTTTTAGCCTCAATCGCGTAGTTTAAGAAATATAAAGCTAATTCTTGGATTCTAAATTCTGTACTACAGAATAAGAGAGGATGTTTTACTCACTCAGTCCTGCTCCAAATAGGCTTCAGATTCCAATAAGCTTCATTGAAAAAAGAAAAAAGAAGGTATAAAAACATTCTATAAAAGCTTCAATAGGACGGTTTATTTTCATTTCCCATTTTTTTTAATTCTCTCGATCTATTAGAAGCATCTCCCTCATCTTATATTAAGGGAACATTGTTTTCTGAATTTTGAGAGGGGGGGAAGGAAGTTGGTCAATGAGACTTTAGTTTTCATTGACCAAACTTTATGTTCTTTTTTTTTAGATTTATGTAAGATTTATTGAAAAATATTTTTCCTGGTATCACTTATTTGGGTAAGTGATATCAATATCTCATGTAGGTAAATAACTTTGCCACTTGGGAGAAAGTTGTCAACACTTGGATATGACAAAATTACCCCTTTTATTAATGGATTTTTAGGATTAAAATAATTATTATTTTATTTACCTAGGAAATAAAAGAACATGCCTAAATGCACCTACTAGGAAATACTTACTTGGGTACCAATAAATAACTTACTTAATAGCGAATGGGACCTAAAATGTCAGCTTGATTCTAGTGGGCACCAAATTCAATGGTTAGTTCAAGACTTAAGTTTGACCACATCATTACTATAAATTAATAGAAGAAAGTAGGGTAGGCCGAAGTGGGGAAGCTCTCTATCTATTAACATGTAAGTCTTTTTCGATATATACATTAGGAAGAAATCAGTCATTGCAAACAATTAAGATGTGTTTGGTTTTGATTATCAATTAAGAGAGAAATAGAAAGTTGAGAGAAAGTTTTTAAGGGATTTCACAAAATTTATGAAGAACAATCTTCCATCAGATTTTTGTTTCTTTCTTATTTTCTATGCATACCCTTAGAATCTGTTTAATCGACATGTCTTTCCATTATGTTGCATTTGATTGGTGGATGGAAGAAAAGAAAAGAAAATCTAAGGCTATATTTGTTTATAAGAAATCAAATATATATATATATATTAAAGGAAGGTTTCCGGGCTATAACCCCCACCATTCAAATACATGACTTTTTCATTTTTTTTTTGAAATTTAGACACATGACATTTTTCTGAGAAGTTGTTGTTAAAGTCCACAACCCACTACCACTATTCAAACAAGTGGGTTTCTCATTTTCTAAAAACTAGATACGTGGCAATTTATGAGAAATTCCTGCTAAAGCCCATAACCCACAAAACCGAAAAACTTAAAAACCGAACCAAATCTCGAAAATCGAACCACAAAATGCAATTAACCAAATCGATCGGTTCGGTTTTGGTTTGGGATTTTTGAAAAACCGAAGGACCGGTTCGGTTTTCGGTTAACCTACAAAAAACCGACAGTTAACTGAACTGACATGTATATATATTTTTATGTATATTTTTAATATATGTCACATATTTTCTATGTATTATATATAAATATATATTCATTATATATATAAATATATACTTATATTATATTTATAATGATCTATTTACAAATACATTATATATTTTTAAAATATTTATAATATATTATATATCATTTAGTATTTATAATATAATATTATATATTTGTATAATATATATTATTATAAATATAAAAAACCAAAAAACCGAAGAACCAAACTAGTCAAAAACCAAAACCGGTGGACCGGTTAACCGATGGTACCGGTTCGGTTTCAGTTTAGAGAATTGGAAAAACTGGTACCACCGGTTCGGTTTACAAAAAGGTGCCATGGTTCGGTTAACCGAAACGTGGACACCCCTACCACTACCAGGCTACAACCTTCCACCATTCAGACATATGACCTTCTCATTTTTCTGAAAAGCTAGACAGGTGACATTTTCTAAAAAGTTACTACTAAAGCCCACAACCCATTACCACAATTTTCAATCAATTCTTAAAAAAATGTAGAAAATGCAAAAGTGATTATCCACAACCACTTCTACTTACATTCTATCAATCTCTCATACAAAAGAAAATTATCCACATTTTAATAATTATTGAAAAGCTATTTTTTGAAGTTTTAATAATTATTTAAAATATTAATTATAAATTTAACACTAATTGATTCCATAATATAAATTTAGCATTACTGATTCCTCATATATAGTATGGGGTCATTCACTAGTGGTAACATAAGGAAGAAAAAAGTAGAAAAACTGAAGTTTTCCCTTTGACTTGGCTTGGATAACATGGTAAACCGAAAAAATAAAAAGCTAAAGTTTTCCCTTTGATTTCTTTGTTCTCTTCTACGACTAGAAAAGCCAAGGAAAACATTGGACAGCAAAAGGAAGTAATGTTGGCCTCACTCCTAAAGGAAATAGTCATTTTCGCATTTTTTTTCCTTTTCTTTTTTTACTTTTTCTAATTTTCTTTACAACCTAATGCAGTGTTAATTTAGACAAAGATGACCCATGCCAAAATCTTATTTTTTATCTTCATTAAGAAAGTCCGATGGAGAGTAAATATATTAAGACATCATTTGACAAGTATTTTTTGAAAGATTTTGTAGAAGATCTGACAACCAAAAGATATAGTGGGTTCTTACAGAAAGATCTTGGTAGCTTATAGTTTGTATTGTTGGAGGTGCATCTTTCTTTCTGAAGATAAGATGAAATAAGTCAAAAAGTTCTATTCTGAGTTTCCTGAAAATAGTCCAAAACGAACTTTTTATGTTTTTTCGAGATTATGTCTTTCGACAATTAGATCTTTTTCCAATCAAATAAGAAAAAAGAAAATCGCAGACTGTCAAATTTCTAAAAATCCAACAACCTGTGCAGAAAGACATGCCAAACATAACGTAATTATGGGCTTATCTGATAACAATTGGTGTGTACTCCTGAATAGATTTCGTAGCCCATTGCACACGTCTAGTTTGTAGCAGATCCTGAGTCCCACATGGATGTCCAAAATGGTTCTGTGTGCTCCCTACTACACTATCTTGCCATGTGTCAAACAGCTCTATATCATGGTCGTCATCTGATTAGAATTTGAACTCTATGCTGTACTCTAGATGTCGGATACATGGTGTCCCATAAATCTAACAAACAAAGTTGTTGATCGCATTACCCTTTTCGTGCAGTTGAAGCTGTAATTGTACTGAAAAGTGAA